ATGAAGACCAAAGCATATAGAATAATTAATAATTTAATTAGTTTGCTAGTAAAAATGAAAACCAATTCTATTCAAATGCAGTTTTGACTTTTTTCAGCATTGATTTTCAACTCTATTTGCTATGCTCTCCCATTATGGGGTCTGGACTGGTTATCCTACTTTGAAAAAATTTAATTGCTATTTATAAGAAAAATTTACAGATTAGATAAAGCAGTGCCGGGATATGTGATTCGCCATGATACGAACAGATTGTTATTAGAACTCTACTTGGTAATTAGGACCATGAAACTTCTTAAGAGACTGTTAACTAGTGAGAACATACAGGTTAATACAATGCTATTTTAAAGAACTTGGCAAAGAACAAAAAGAACTATCAAAACAATTGGTATAACAAACTTAGGATAAAATTGGCAAGTTAGGTTTGTCTCATTTACTATTTAACAGTACAGAAACAGACTGGAATTACGGAATTTCTTTATTGGTGGAGAATATGTATAATAATACAATTGATCGTGAGATGAAAAATTTACAGGAGCCAAAATTTCACCCATGGTATATAGTTAATTTAAATTTCTCTCCAGCAAATAATTATATTCATTATAAAATACCATTTGGAATGAAAAAATTTTATATGCAGATCAGAGTAAACAGTTTTTATATTATAGTTGAAGGGAATTATTTGGATATCAGGAATAAACAATGTAGGCTGTGTAATGACCAAATTTCTGTATATCATATAATTAGTTTGTGCAAGGGTTGTTCCAAACTTAGAGAACAGACTGGTATTTCCACCTTGTCAGCCATCAAATCAATGCAAGAATGCTACCAAAAAATATTTCAGATGGGTCCAATTATGATTACCAGAATATATCAGTTCATTTATTAAATATATTAAAATGGTTGAGTGCCTTAATGAATGATTTATAAATTTACTTTTGTTGTTGTTCTTACTTTTATCCAATTACTTTTATCCAAACTTTTTTGACCGAGCGCTACACTTTCCCTCTGTTATGTATAACAGCCGGAAAAGTAAAAATTATCGAATACATATTTATATATTACTTAGAGGAGTCTTTTAGCTTTGGGATAAAAAGTTTCTACGTTCTATCTTTATTAGAACTCTATTTATTGAATGTTTTATTCTGAGGTCACGTGATGACATCAGAATTTCTGGGTCTCTTTTGGTAACAAGTCCTCCCTTGGTCGGAGTCGGAGTCGGATAGTAAGGAAAAGTCTGAGTCAGAGTTGGAGTCAGTAGATTTTTACATGACTCCACAGCCCTGGAAATAATGCGACTTCCCTTGAAAGGAGTTAGTTAGGTGACTGGCGAGACTCTATTGTTAAAAGAAAAATATGATATACAGGGGCAAGCCACTACAATACTAATTTGATGTGGAGAGTATATATTTTAAATTAAATAAATTAAAAATATGATTAAAAATTGCAGCCTGGCAATGATGATGTCACAATAAATATTTGCTTGTTAGAATTAGTTTGGTTTATTTCGTTATGGCAATGTGACACATGAGCAATCTGCCAAGGGATGAATCCCAGGAAGACTTTTATGGGAAGCTAGATTTTAGTGTTATCATTTTCCATTTTATGCAGGCAAGTGCTATGTGCTGTTGCGGTAATAATATAGCATGTCTATTTTGCACTATATCATTGTCTCAGTAATTAAGTGAATATAATTTTTAAAAATGTATGTTATATTTTTTTTTTGTAAGAATTATATTTAGTTTATTATTTTGTTAAGTTTTTTGCCAATAGATGATGCTATGTGCAAATCAGCAAATCATATATAGATAGAAATTAATTGATTTATAGAAATCAAATCAATAATTTGGGGTGGTGTGTATGACATCATCTAAGTTTGAAGTATGTGAATGTTACTGCTGAGTTTTGTAGCAATTGATCAAACAGCCTAGGAATGTATAGCAAACAAAGATCCATCCTCATTTATGTGTATAGATTTGTTAGAGATGTCTGCATACATTGTAAGATTTTACATATAAATAAATGAACAAAATTCAATGTTTAATAAAACAATATAATGTCAATGGGCCTAAGACAGAAAACAGTAGTATAATGAGATAAACCCATTTTTAATTTTTGAAGATAAATTGAACCTCCCACTCAGATTTCTAGAACAATTATCACATCTTAGGAAATAAACTTTCAATAATAAACAAACAAATTGCATACATCTTAGTGAGTGTAGTATCAAAGTGTAATTTCCCCCCTCTTTTGTCAATTTCATAAAAATTAAATTCAATTAATTCTATTTTAGTTATTGTTAGTATAGCTTTCCATTTTCTTTTCTTTTTTATACTCTCACTAGTTGTAAGTACCCACTTCGCTGGGATTTTATTTGTTCGTACATTTATATGACCTGCTCATCTAGGCGAATGTTACTCATTATCTCTCTACTCTGCTTTCTTCTTTCATCCCAACTGTGCACTTGTTTCTTTTCCTCTATGTAATCTTTCTCTGATTCTATGTGTTTCCCTATAATTTTCAAATTGCTCTTCTGTCTGATTATTTCTGTTTTGTTGATAATTTTCTTGTAGCAATGTTAGACATACTTCTCTTTCTTCTGTGGTTTCATTTCTCTGCACCATCTTTTGCCTTTGCGATACAATTCAAGACTGTGAAAATTCTTTCTTACGCTTTGGCATTGTTTTTTATATTTTTACTGTTCACACTTTACTATTCACTTTTCACTTTCTACTTTTTTCTGTTATTCGTACACTTTTACTTATGAAAAATCAACTGAAGCATGTGCATCACACTTCACCAAAAGCCATTCCCACTACTCACATGTAACGGTCCTCGACTATTCCAAAACATTTTCGAACCTTCTTGCCCAGTTCATTCTAGAACATTCTGAATAAATAAAGATATTGTAGAACATTTTAACTAAAATATTTTTTTCATATAATAATTCAATAAAAACTGATAAAATAAAATTATTTGTTCTAGACAGTATCTTTCTTCGTGAGGATACATTATTCTATTAGGTACGCATCCACATTCAGATCGGGCTTTCACCATTTTGCAATGCTGAACACACATCTAATAACACGTAATTATATATTTGTTAGAATTACTTAATTAAAAGACAAAATGCGTAAATATATTTATTACCTCCCATGACAATGGTCCAGATTCTTNATTTGATTATTAAAAAAGTGCACTATAATGTATTATTAATTTAAAAAGAAATGAGAGGGGGTAGATTGTAGGCATGAAGAATGAGAGTGAGGACAGAGAATATGTGTGAGAATTCTACGATATTCCAGAAAATTTTAGAACTTTCTAGAAAAAACTGGAACATTCTCATTGAAGTGTCACACATTTTCAAAGTCAACCACTTTCAACCCCCACACCTTATACACTTATAACTTACTCCCACACTTATAGCTATTGCGACTCAACCACCATAGTGCACAATGGGAGACTTGGGGCTACTACACACACAAACACCATTCATGTGCACTGTGTAGTTTTGGCTGCAGAGTGAAATATAGGCACAAACACATCCATTTATATATATATATAGATATAGATATAGATATAGATTATAATTTGATGGAACTTTTAAGCTTATTTTCAATTTTATTATATTGCTGAAATAAGCTTATTTTCTTATTAATTTGACTGTAATGCAAAAATACAGAACATGAGTTCCTGGCATTTGCATTTATACTTCCCAATATTTAGGTTACAATAGCATGATTTCTTTCATCTGTCTATATCTCATGGGTTCAGGCTTTCAGAGAACATTTGTTAGGTTAATGTTTTATGAAAAATTTGAATTTTTCACCTCTGAAAGGTTTTTGTCTTACTCGGATTCTGGCATTTACAGATTTTATTGTACTACAATGTATGCACTAAAATAGTAAAGAAATGTATTAAATATATAATTAAAACATTTTGCAGTTTAAAAGAACCTATTAAACTTTTTTAATTTATAAAACATGCATCATTAAATTGAAAAAATATTGAGTGTCTAACACATCATTAAAAAATAATTAAATATAAAATGAAGTGATGGCAAAAAATATGCTGTTTATGAGACTTTTAATCTAATTTTAGAATTATTAAATCAAACTATTAACCTTTTAATATTATTTTTAAATTTAATAATTTGTTTGTTAAAATTGTCAAGTCTATTTTAAAATAATTTTTCAAATATGAATTTTATGTGCAAACATGGTAGAGAAAAATTAAATTGAGCTTGTAATATAATTTTTATCACATTAATAGTACAAGTATTTACAGAAGACAACCTTTAAAATACCAAGAAGCTTCTCCTGCTTCTACACATTTCTATCATGTTTAATGATTACTTTGAAAAGTGGTAGAAGCCATTTTTGGTGATGCCTTTTAAAGGCTTTGTTACTTCAGCTTCCACATTCAGCTTTCAATGGTCATTGTTGATTATTGAATTTTGATGGAACCATTCTGGCCTACTGTGCCAACATGAAATACTGGAGAGGCAAGAGGTGGTTACCAACCTTCAAGATAAACTATCACTTGAAAACAAAAGTTTTGAGGAGAATAGCAAGGACATGAAAAAATGTTTTTGAAATATTCCCTGGATACTTTTGATATACTGAATCAGCTTCTTTTTAAGTCACTGTTCTTAATGATTAATAACATCATTCTTGGGGAAAAGAGAGATATAATAAAGTACACCTTATACAATGTTGTTCTCTGAAGAATAAAAATCTTGCATTAGTGAAGGCTGGTTTGAATATTTTTCTTTAATTAATATTAAACTATACAACAGTGATATATTTTAGTTTCTCCTGCCCATGTGTAGAGAATCACAGTGGTAGACAATAAAACCATAATCATTTATAAATGTCAGTATAAAATAGTTTTAAAGGTGTAAATTGCAGTAAGACCCTTTTGGAAATGATTTCTTCATATATTTTTCATAATTTTGATTGTTTTTAAATATAAAATTTAAAACTTTTTGATTCATTTTTTAGGGCTTTATTCAGAGATGATTTGCTTCCTAATAATACTAAAGTTATTGGTTATGCAAGATCAGATTTAACAGTAAAAGATCTGAGATCAAAAGTTGAACCCTATCTGCATGTATGTAATTTAAATTTTAATATTTTCTGTAATTATTAATTTCAAATAAATGACATCTTTAAAATTTTATTTATAGATTAAAAACAATGACAATAAATTAGGAAGTTTTTTTGAAGAAAATTATTATGTTAAGGGATCATACAATGATCCAACTGATTTTAAAAATCTTAATGAAGAAATTAAAAAGTTTGAACTTGGGAATGAATCAAATCGTTTGTTTTATTTGGCTCTGCCACCAACTGTATTTGAGTCTGTCACAAGTAATATTCATGACTATTGTATGAGTAAAACGTAAGTGTAAATTTAATGTTTAATAATAATTTTATTGCGTACCAAAATTTTTTCTTTTTTTCATACTTTTTTTTTATACTACACTGAATGAATGAATTGCATTGAATTTTGATTTAAAAAGGTTTTTATATAACAGAAAGATCCAAAATAGAATTACTTATTAAAATTATGTTATCAACTGCAAATAATACAGAAATTATAATTTAAAATATTGTCAGTATTAGAATTTGTGATAAAATTCTTTTAAGTTGAGTTAACACAACAACACAAGTATTAGACTGGATTCTTGAAGTTCAGAATTTTATCATATCAATTGTACAGGCTAATTNATAACAGAATTCTGTGACGTAATATAATTTATAAACTCGTTCGTAACAATATCCATCCGTAAACTAGTTCCTAAAATTAACCTTGAAGTCAATTAAAATTTTTAATGTTTACGCTTTACTTTTAATCCGTTTTTTTCGTCCAGATTAATTATTATTTTTTTTTTTTAAAAAGGTTTTTATATAACAGAAAGATCCAAAATAGAATTACTTATTAAAATTATGTTATCAACTGCAAATAATACAGAAATTATAATTTAAAATATTGTCAGTATTAGAATTTGTGATAAAATTCTTTTAAGTTGAGTTAACACAACAACACAAGTATTAGACTGGATTCTTGAAGTTCAGAATTTTATCATATCAATTGTACAGGCTAATTAGCAAGTAATAGAAATTATTTGCTAAAGAAGCAAATTTTTTCTAGAACTTTTGACTAATTTTAGAAAATTGTTACAGAATGGCTGAGAATAAGAACATGTTATATTTTTTTTATAAATATAGGATGATGTACTATGTCTGTAATACCTAAATAATTTAATAAATATCAATATTATTATTATCATTAAAACATTGAAATTATATAAATAATCTTTTATATATTAAATACAGAGGGTGGACAAGAATTATCTTAGAAAAGCCATTTGGTCGAGATGATAAAAGTTCAGCTGCTCTGTCAAATCATTTAGCATCTTTGTTTAAAGAAGATGAAATATATCGAATAGATCATTATCTTGGAAAAGAAATGGTCCAGAATTTAATGACTTTAAGGTATTTCAATAATTTTTCAAATTCATACTTATCAAATATTTTTGATATGTTATATTTTATTATTTTGTGACAGTTTTAAATGAGATGCAAAGAATGGATCACAACAAGTATTGCTGAGTTTGTAATAAATTTGTAAATTTAAGATTGAATTTTCAGTTCAAATATTAAGTTATTATGCAGCCTATATATTTTGAAATTTTGCAAAATTGTAAATTGTTTAATTATTTTACTTATGTAGTTTTATGATTCTTCCAAAATGTATATTTTCTATTATAGATCTTAAAATTATATGAATTTAAACTTTAAAAAAACTTAAATTCACAGATTTATCAGAATTTCTGATTATATGTAAGCATTAAATAAGTTAATTTTAGATTTTCAAATTAATGATAAATTCATGCATGTTTCAACCAAAGAGAAAATTTTTATTAATTTCAGATGTGTTTATATTCAAATATTGATTCAATTACGGTAATTCTAAACAATAAGCATATTATAAGCTTGTTTAGAATTACCATAACTGGACTTACATTTTATAAAAGCACCTTGCTTAAAGATTTTCAAAATAGTAGTTCACTCAGGATATTTTTATAATTTATTTTTCACTTAATGTTTTGGCTTACACATCTTCATCAGATGAATACAAATTTATCATACAGAAGCAAAAGATATCCTGAATAAATTGAATACAAAAGCTTAAAATTTACAATAATCATTACGGTTATTTAATTAAATGGAATGCATTGGGCTTATTCAATATTAGTTTATCTTAAAAAACATTAAAAATTAGATTGGGAACATTTGTGTTTTTAAATAAAGTACATAATAGATAATTTGGTATTTTTCTTGAATGTTTTCCTTCATTTTACACTGCTCATTGTACTCCAACATTCTATTGAATTCTTTACCAGCACTTCTGTAAAAAGTTTAAGTCCTGATGAAGTAACTGATAAAATGAAAAGTAATTCTTTTTCATTTTATCATATAAAGACTCAAGACTCAATATATTATTAACTTCTAAAAATATAATACATTGAAAGTATTTATGTAGTAACTTATAAGATAAATCAGTGCTAATAACTAAGTCTGATATATCCCATTAAACAATTTTCAATACTGCTGTAAATTAAAAATTTTTATGTATGATATATTCAGGATATCTTTTGCTACAATATGAGAAACTTGTATTCACCTGATGAGGTTGAGCCAAAACATAACATAAAGCAATAAGTTATAAAATAGCTTACTCAAGAGAATTGTAATTTTATTTTTTTGGAGAATCTTTAAGCAAGATACTATTATAGATGGTAGATAGTTTTAATTTTGGTAATTCCAAACAAGCATAAATATTAATAAACATTATTCCTTTCAAGTGAGTACTATGATTTTTGAGATAAAAGTAACAATTATATTTGTATAATTAATTTTTAAGAATTATTATAATTATTTTAAAAGGGTAACTCTGTAATTTCAATATCTATTGATAGTTTTAAATATGTGTAATTTATATAAATATAATATTAAATTTTATCTTAAATTTTAGAATTTTTTTGGAATTATATTTGAAATTATAGTATGAAACATCACAAATAAATTAACAAATGTTAATCCTGTATAATTATAAACTAAATAAATGCTAGTTCTTTAGCAGAGAATACAATATTAATTTCTGCATAACTATAAAGTAGTTATGCAGAAATTAATAATTTGCTTCTGATTTCTGCAGTACCACTGTTCATTCATTTAATTTGTAAAAATTAATTAATTAATTTAGAAACAAACAAAAATAATATTTGCATTGCATATAGTTTCAACTGATAATCTTTGTGAACCATAGTAACAAAAAATATAGATATAAGGGTTTTATGTCAAGCTTCATCAAAAACAAATGAAAGAAAATGGAAAAGTGTAGCTTCAGCTGATAACTAATGTTATAGTTCTCCATTTCTTTTAATTTATTTTTTCAAGAGACTTATCTCTATATTTATTCCTGTAATATGTTATCATTATGTTATTTAAGTCTCTAATTTTTCTGTGGACATATAAGAATTTTTCAAAATTATATTATTTTCAATATGGAGAAGACTTACTACACTGAGTTTCAGTGATGGGATGGTTGATTTTGTCTTTATAGGAATCTGTTTGTACTCAAGCAAAAAAATCTAGCATTTGTTTGTCTTGAATTACTGAGAATTAAGATGAATTAATAAAGAAAATTTTCATTTTATTTTATTTTTTTCAGATTTGCTAATCAAATATTTTCTCCAACTTGGAATAGAGAAAATATTGCATCAATTACAGTTTCTTTTAAAGAACCATTTGGTACACAGGGTAGAGGTGGTTATTTTGATAATTTTGGTATTATAAGGTGTGTATTTTGAGTTTTTATATAAACTGATAATTTAAAATAAAATTTTACTGAATCGAAAGCTCTGTTCTGCTTTTTTTTTTCTTTTCTTTCTTTTTTTTTTAAAAATGATTTCCTGATTATTAATTATGCAGTTATCAAAAAGTTAATTCTTATTCTTTAAATTTAGTGTCAAAATTATAGTTTTCGTGTCGCGCATCGATTGCTTTTAAACATGAAAGCTTAGAATATTTATGATCTGTAAAGTATCTGGATTTTATCAAACTTATCTCTTATTATTTTTTTTTAATGTCGCACACAATTTTTACCATTTATTTAATCACTTTATATCTTTGCTTTTTATAAATTTCAACTTTCTAATTTTAATATTTCATTTCTGATAAAAAAAAAAACTACTTGTATGTATATATAAACAGTAAAAACTCCGAATTAATTGTGCTAGGGCCATCCGTTTTTTGCTTAAAATAGTAATTTTTCCTATCCAAACACTTCGTTTATGTACAGTACTGTACGTGTTATATGCAAATAAAATAAAGTGTATAATTATATGCAAATTAAATATTAAATGTGGAAATGTACCAATTGGAATTTCGCTGTATATCATTAACAAGCATTTCATCCTTGTTAATTATTAATAAAATATATNCATTCATTCTGTGCAAAATAATTTATTATTATGTTAAAAAATTATTCAGCAAAATTAATAATATATTCCTTTTCACTTCTGATTATATTCTATTAGGAAAGAATATGATTGTTCATACATAATTAGGATCTTAATGTACTGTATATTGAATCTCCATTGTATATGAGCAGCTGAGATTCAAATGGGTATTGGAAATGGTTAATGTCATTTTAGATTTTTATGTACCATTAGTCAATTGAAAATTATCAGATGATAATCATTTGTCAATTCTGATATAGATTAGAATTGTTTTATAGACTTACATGATTATTTTTGTTTTCATTATATATCAGTAATGTTTCTATGTTTTGAAAATAGGATTAATTTATCATTTCTATCTTTTACAGTATTTCAATAGTCAGTTCATGAGTTCACAATATAGCTTCACAGTAAAGCAATCTTTTGGTGTTGTGTATTAGGAATAAAACACTTGAAATTTCACAATATTTCTTCTTTGATTTCAGAATGTCTTTCTGAGCTGCTTGTATTTTATTAAACGACTCAAATGAATGACTTTTCAATAATCTAAAAACAATAATCCACAAGAAAAGAATAATATTATTTAAATGATTGGTTAACGAACAGTTCGGATAGTGAACAAATAGTGAACTTTCGCGAAAGATTTTTATGATCGGACAACAAACATGTTCAGATAACGAACACTTTACTGAACAAACATAAAAAGAAGTGACAGAAAATAACAAATACTAATTGATTTTTCCCTTGTCTTCAGGTTACAATTCAAAACCTTTCGAAGCACAGGAGATGGCAACATCGACGCTCAACCTGATACTGATTGGATAGTATAATATTCCTCCAAATTTTGAAACTCTCTCTTGTAATTCCAGCTTATTGTTTACCTTTCTGACAAATAATTTTTTATAGTATTTGCAAGACTATCGGATGGGCAATTGTTAAGTTTTATGTCTGGGTTTATTTACGAAAGGTGAAAGTTTAACTTTCTCATCAGATATTCGTTAACGTTTTAATACCAAATTTCAAATTTCATCCAGGCCTTGCACTTAAATAATTTTTTGTGGGCTAGTTGATTTCTGTTCTCTGAATTTTTGTAAGTGTTTTTCTGCACTTTTTATTTAAAAAAGAAAGTGATAATATTATGGAGCCTAAAAAGAGGAGTGTCAAGAACTTGCTCACCTTAGAAACCAAGTAAGAGATAATAGCCAAGGTAGAAAGTGGGCACAAGATGACTGATGTTGCTAGGCAGTATGGCTTAAACAGGTCTACAGTAGGCACAATCTTAGCTATGAAATATATATCAAGAAGTCTCAAGTTGCTAATGGAGTAATGAAAATCAAATCTGAGAAATAAAGAGCATTTCAGAGCTCGTAATGGAACCTGAAACTGATCTGACGACAGAAGAACACCAAGAACTCTCAAATGAAGAATACCAAGAAACTCAGTGAGATGTGTTTTTTTTTTTTTTTTTGAAAAAGAGAAAGACGAAACAGGACCAATGTCAACATCTGCTACTAAAGTTTTTTGAAGAAGTGGGAGGATGTCAGAACAACGATCATTCAAGTGGCATCCAAACCAGAATAAGGTTAATGGGGTTGGGGATCTCTACAATTACAGTACTATTAATTACTTCCAAAAAATCCTGAAGAAAAGAGAAAAGCAATCAACATTGGACAGATTCTTTAACCCCCACAAATGGAAAAAAACATGACTAATAAAAGTGCAAGACTGCATATACATATATTTTTATTATTACAGTACATATAAATAAACGTAGTAAAAAAGTATATATTTTTTATTGTTTGGAGTCTCCGGAACAAATTAATCAAATTCCCATAAAAACCTATGGTAAATAGATAATCGGTTAACAAATAATTTGGATAACAAACAAAGTCTTGGAACAGATTATGTTCGCTTACCGATCACCCACTGTATATTAGTTTTACCTATTTCTTATTGTTTGCTATGAGATGGGTAATGTGAAAGTAAGTTATATTTCTACCAGAAAAGTCCACGTTTGTGATGTTACTGTTAGAATAATAATTGCAGGAGGAATTCTTGATATATATTGTAGTTATGTTCTTAAGAAGCTTGGATTAAAAGAATGTGTATCACAGGTCAATTTTCCATTGAACTAATGTAACATGTTAGAAATATGTTTCAGAGCAAATAAAAATTTGAATTTATGAGAGTTATAGGCATATGAATAAGAAATACTTATTTTATTGTATATTGAACTGCAATACAGTATAATTACAATAAATTTTCAGTTTTAATCTGAATTAATTTAAAATTTAAAAAAATTCTTTGAATAAATTACAGTATCGTGTATAAGTACTGTACAAGAGATTCCAAGTGTTCATTCATTCAGAAATAGTAGAATACTAAACTACTAAATAATAATTGGACAATAGAGTATGAAATTATTAATAAACATTAAGGGCAAGAAAGAGTAAAAAACTTTTACTTTTTCTGCCCTATGGGCACTAACAGATTTTTTCATGGGTTGAGCCAGATCCATAATGAGGTGGAAAGGTAGTGAAGGACATATCTAGGACAGACCTTTCCTGAAAAATTTCTGTGTTTTTTTAAAGTCCAGAAGTTCAAGAATATAATTAATACTTGAATGATATTGACTTTTTATCATAGATTATCTTATTTCTGAATAAATGAAAACTTAGAATTTCTTTCTGTAATCTTAAAATTAAATATTTTTGGATATTAAAAAATGGTTGAATAACAAAATATATTAATTTTAATTTTACTTAGGGATGTTATGCAGAATCACTTGATGCAAATACTTTCATTAGTGGCAATGGAGAAGCCAGTATCTACATCTGCTGAAGATATACGCCATGAAAAAGTTTGTAATACTAGATTAATTTACAAATACATATATTAAATTTTGTGTTTAATATAAATTGATAATTGAAAAAAATACTTCTATCTTATTTTTAGGTGAAAGTATTGAAGTGTATAGCTCCAATTAAACTTGAAGATGTAGTTATAGGACAATATGTTGCAAATCCTGATGGCAAAGGAGAAGCTAAACAGGGCTATTTAGATGATCCTACAGTTCCAAAAAATTCAACTACTCCTACTTATTGTTTAGCAACATGTTACATTAATAATGAACGTTGGGATGGAGTTCCTTTTTTTCTAAGATGTGGGAAAGGTATACAAATTTACTAAAGCATATACAACTTCCCTGAATTCACCAAGTTTGTTAGAGAATTATAATTGATAATTTTAATTTAGTGTATGTATATAATGAAAATTGTTAATTTAGAATTTATATTAATTTGATAATTTAAAATATTTTAATATTAAATTAATTAAATGTTCAAAATTTAAATTTTAGCTCTAAATGAAAGAAAAGCTGAAGTACGTATTCATTATCGTGATGTTCCTGGAGATATCTTTAATAAACAATGTAAAAGAAATGAGCTTGTTATTAGAGTGCAGCCTGGTGAAGCTGTATATGCAAAATTAATGATGAAACGACCTGGAATGTCTTTTGACATGGATGAAACCGAGTTAGATTTAACCTATGGTAGTCGTTATAAAGTGAGTATATATTAAATTTATTTCAATGTTAAAAAAAAATTTTATATTTTTTTAAAATATGGAATTAAACAACTAGAATAATTGCCAGATTTATATGTAACTGCAATTTATGGATTATTTTTTAGTTTTTCATTGCAAGATAATAGTATCTGCTTATCTCTAGTATGAAATTCATTTGCAGTTTTATTAAATAATAGTTTAAAAATGGCCCATAAATTTCAATAATATTTAATAATAATAATAATAAATAAAATCAGTAAAAATAACTTATTAATTTATACAAGAAAATAAAAACGTCAAATAATTTTTTTTCAAAATATTTACAGAAGTTTTTTTATATAAAAGCTTCTATACAAAAAAAAAACTATTTTGTACACAAATCATTCACTGATTTATGTTCATAATTAAACATAAATCATTCAGTCTGATAGATAGATCATTCCAAAAATATAAGATTCTCATTTCTTTTCTATATGCTACTATACAAATAATTTGACAAAATTGGAGAAGTAATCAAATGAAAGAAGCAGTACATCTTGTATAACTCCAGCATTTTTGCTGCATTTAACTGCAATTTTGATCTACTTCTATATGCCTTCTTCAGGCTATTAAATAGTATTATTACAATTAGCTTCTTTCTCTGATATTATTAATTAAATTTTTAATACTACTGTATTATATTTAATGTGTGATAAGCTCTTGAAATATACAATAGTATTAAATTTTTAATTAACTATTATATAGTATTATTTTAGCCAAAATGAACATTACTGCTATCAATTAGACAGTTTTTTTCATTCAAATAATTTTTTATCCAGCTATTTAGTATAATCATATATGATGAATATAGCATCCAATATACTACATTTAAAGTAATTTTTCAAAGTTTGATTTATTTTTTTTTATTAAACTAAATAACAGATTTACTCTACATTTCAAGAACAATTTATTAAACACTTTATAGTTTCATCATCAAAATCTAGAATTATAATAAAATTAATTTTGGCAAAAGATGTAAAAATCAGCTTATAACAAATTTTTCAAATTTTATTTTTGTAAATTAAATTGGTATTGTATTATTATTTTTTTACTTCACATTTTATTTTCCTATCAAAAATAGAATATTTTAATTCTAAATTCTGACATTTAGGAAACTTGAATATGCTTAATAAATTATTACTTGGACTTCTAAAGTAAGATGCTATTTAGTTGAATTATTCCACATAAGTTCATTCAAAAAGGCTTTGAACTATTGAATGCTGTTGAAAGAATTATTTAATACTTCAGAATTAACAATTTAAAAGCTATAGAAGATGAGATTTTTAACTGACAAACAGTATGATTTTTAAAGTTTAATCTTGAATGAAGAATATATTAAAGGTATAATTGACATTTTTCTTTTGACAAGAATAACCATTACTCACTCAGGTTTTCAAATAATTAAAGATGAATAAGTAATTAGAGATTGCCAGATTCAAGCTTTTAATCCAACAGTCATTAATATCCATCGTTTTGGAAATCTGTTCATAGATTGATACAGGTATACCTCGACTTACGTTGTTCCCGATTATACGTCGTTTGTCAAAAAAGTATATGGAAAAATAAAAATCAAGTTTAAGTCATTTTATTTGACTTTACGTCTGTCTGCCACAAATATTGAAGTCGTAATATCACTAGAAAAGCATTTAAAGCACATAAAATCATATTAAAATATATACATTTACAACTATGTACAGTACTGTATTTACAGTACATGCATTCGTACATTTAGATTACTTTTTTCTGTACTATATTAAAAACTGAAATTAATTTGTTTGTAAGCTTAAAATAGATCCTTATTAACCATAGATTATTAAAAATGCATTAATAAATAAAATACAGAACCGGAATTGGCAATTTATAGTTTAGCCTAGTGACAAGTAGATTTGGAAACAAGTAAATTCGACTTACGTCGTTTTTCGATTTAAGTCGTTCTCCTGGAACCAATTACCAACATAAGGCGAGGTATACCTGTACTTTCATTTGATAATAAACAAATAAATTTAGAAATTAAATATTAATAATAATGCTTAATATCACCTAATATAATATAATATAATATCACCAAATAAAGATATTAGGTGATATTATATTATAACACCATTAATTTAATGATTAATACTAAGTAATTTGCTACTATAAGTAGACATTAGCTACCAGCTCTTAATTAAATAAATAATTATAGTTTTAATAATTTATTAAATAATTAGTTAGATCCATCTGGAAGAAAAGAACTGATCCAAAGTGGGACCAGAACCTGCAACCTCTGCTTGCCATGTGGTGTACTTGCCAATTGCACTACCTAGACCAGGCATGGCCAACATATGGCCTGTGGGCAGATCCAGCCCGTCTAATGAATTTATGTGGCCTGCGATTAATCTTTCAATATTAGCTACTGAAGTCCGAATAGCTCGATGAAAAGGTCAACAACTTACTGTGTGTTTAGAGTTAACCCTCCATTACAAATCTCTTAAGTACAGCGTAGAATGTTGATAAAGCATGATAATGTGTGAAAAATGTATCTGTAATCTCTATGTACAATTTAGTCTCTACGAGGTGACACCACAATGAGATCTCGCACCACCTCAAAATCTTCCTAGGGCAGCCTCTGGTTCAGCCCGTGAAAAAAGTTTTCGTTCCAATTTGGCCCGGGAGCAAAAAATTGTTGCCCACCCCTGACTTAGATCCTAAGCAAGCCTTTGCTTTCAGATATACTGTGTTTAAATTTTAGATATAACCTTATGTGGTGATGGAACCTAATATCTACCTCTAGTAGAAAATTACATAGTATTAATCATTAAATTAGTGGTGTTATAGCCTGATTATTTAGGTGATCATTTGGTTATGTCAGAAAATCATTTCTTCCATTTAAAAAATGCCAATGCTAATTATATGTTCATATAATAATCAATTATTAAATTATAATTGTATTTGTGCAAGCTTAAAATGTTTATACTATTTATTACTTTTTTAATTCACATAAAAATAATATGAAATTAAGAGTACGTTGTTTTACTTAATTAAAAATCCAATTATTTAATGAATTAAAAAGACATTTTTTCATTTTAGGATTTAGTTATGCCAGATGCTTATGAAAGATTATTGCTTGATGTGTTCTGTGGGAGTCAAATTCATTTTGTGAGTAGTGATGAACTGTCTGAAGCATGGCGAATTTTCACTCCTCTTCTTCATGAAATTGAAGCAAAAAATATCAAACCTATTCCTTATGTATTTGGCAGGTATGGTATATAATTTATGAATTACAAAAATATTCCTAATACAAATCAAAAAGAAAAAAAAAACAAACAGATAATTAAGGAAACCATGGACAGGATTCTTTAATAGAAATGTTTTTAATCTTTACTTCGACCAGCTTTACCTCTTTTGAAAAAAGAATTTTAGAATGCAGAATATATACCATGTTCTGATATGTATTCTTATATATTCATTTCATTGTTTTTTTTGAAAGAACTGAAGCTGGTTGAATTAAAGACTGAAAACTGTTCTTTTTTGTTTACATTAATAAAATATATTTTCTTAGATCATTTAGATTAATATGACATTGCTACATACAAGGATGATTGTTAAATAAGTTGTCTTACCACAGCATTCTATGAAGTGTGGAGTATAGAGCCACACCAAATTCCTGATTATTCATGGTAATTAGTGCATAGGTATGCATAGAATACCAGAAAACATGGAAAATCCAAAATAGCCCTCTAAACCAGTGTTCCCCAACCTGTGTCATGGCAAGGTTGGGAAACACTGATTTAGAGTGCCTCTGGTGTATCATGAAAAATATTAAATATTTTTTAGAATTTTGAATACTCTTTTCTTAAAATTTCATTTATCTTTCATCTTATTACCACCAGTTGACTAAAAGGAGAAAGAGGTATTCATTAAAATGCCAATTGCTGCAAAATTTGTGGCATCAGCATACCCCACTCCCAAATGTTGCATGTGTCTATGCTTATGCCAGCATACCAACTCTTTGGAGCTTCTACAAACATATAAATGTTGCAGAATTACCAGCTTAAAGACCAATACTAGCTCTTTACACATTGATTCAAATAGTCTTTTTTTATTTTTATTGTATACTAGCTGTACCTGGCCACGCGTTGATGTGACTCAAAATGTATCTATTATAAATGTATAACACTCCCCATGGGAGGGAATTTTGAAAAATTCCTTTTTAATGTACATTTCCTTGATGTACTCTATTAAAACGCAATCAAAAACGCAAAAAACTGCATCTAAATAGTATAATAGAAGCTGAGTTCTTCACAGTAATCCTCAATCCTGTCCCTCTCCCCTATGAGGTGGGGAATTTCGACATCTATATAATATAAAAAATGCATGTATTCGAATGCAATGTTGTGTCAAAATTTCAAAGCAATCAGTTAAGAACTTTCAGAGATTTAAGATTTTGAACAAATGAACATTTACATTTTTATTTATATAGATTTGTAAAATTATGAGTTTTTATCTTGGTAAGTTTAACTTCTGTATTATTAAAACTTTTTAAAAATCAATTGTAATTTATTTTAAATGTTAAACATTTTTATTTTATTAAAATTATGGTCTGTCACAGGAATTTAATGAATTCAAAGTTTGTCACTAATCCAAAAAGGTTGAGAAACAGTGCTGTAAACTATGAAAAAACTATTCAGAAATTTTAAATGAACCATAATATATATACAATTGAACTCTTATAATGCCAATGCAAGTCCCAAGCTTCATAAGCTGAAATACAGTATACAGGTATACCTCAACTTACGTCGTTTCGAGTTACGTCGTTCCCGATTATACGTCGTTTGTCAAAAAAGTATATGGAAAAATAAAAATCAAGTTTAAGTCATTTTATTCGACTTTATGTCTGTCCACCACAAATATTGAAGTCGTAATATCACTAGAAAAGCATTTAAAGCACATAAAATCATATTAAAATATATACATTTACAAGTTTGTACTGTATTTACAATACATGAATTCGTAAATTCAGATTACTTTTGTCTGTACTATATTAAAAACTTTAAACTTTATAAAATTTATTTGTTTGTAAGTTTAAAATAGATCCTTATTAACTATATATTATTGAAAATGCATTAATAAATAAAATACAGAACCGGAAATGGTAATTTATGGTTTAGCCTAGTGACAAGTAGATTCGGAGACAAGTAAATTCGACTTACGTCGCATTTCCTGGAACCAATTACCGACGTAAGGCGAGGTATACCTGTACATTAATCAATAAACATAAAATGCAGATTTCTTCTATTTTTAAAAATATTATGTAGAAATTAAAATTTTTCATTATTATATATAATTCTTATATTTTTTCCAAGTTATTGTATTTTAAAACTAGTAGGCTATCTTTTTCAAATTGCTGTTTATAGCAAATGTAATTTTTTCACATAAATTCAAAAAACTGAATGTTGCTTATGGTACTTTGTCATTTTACAGTAATTCTAATATTTTGATGATGCATGGATAATTGGAAGTTTGATGTATGTAGTGACCATTTTTAGTAGTCATGAATATCTGTGCAGTTTAAATTTATTGTTATGTTGTTGCATAACAGTCAAGTTTAAATAATAACTCATCTTCTTCCTCATTCTGTACTAAGTAGTGATCAGTGATTGAATTTTTTAGTATTGGAAGGTTGCATGCTTATTGAAATTCATAGATGTTTACAAAGCATTTATGACAGTGATAAGAGATATATTTGCAGAATAAGGGCAGAAAGAATCCTCTTGTACCTTAATTAATCAGGCAAGATTGCACTGCAGTAAGGAAAAACAAACATGCTTAAGAAACTGATGTTTCAGATTATTCTATCCCTCCTTACCACTTTGATTTGGCACTGTCAGACTTCTTGTTGTTTTCAAATTTAAAGAAAGTATTGAAAGATATTGGCTTATCACTGGATGCTATACAGAATGCATCAAGGAAAAACCAGAAGATTTTTTTTATGCAAGAATACAAAAATACCATTGTTTTGCTATTTGATGTTCAGTAAACTTTTCCTTCATATATTCCATCTGCTATCTAAACTCCATTCAGTCTCTGATTATTGAGAGTATATTCTGACAATCCAACATTTGTTCTAGCTTTTTTTAAGCTCTTTTGTTTTCTATTCTTTGCAGATCTAATTCTTTTTTCTATGTATCAAATCTATTATTTTATTCTATCCATAATTGCTATTTCCTCAAGTGATTCCTCATTTTATTAAATAATTAACTGATCAGAGAAATTATCATTAATACTGATTTTCTTTTTAATATTATATTTTTGAATGTTTAAATTAATTTTAATTTTTCAATGTAATGATTATTAGGTGTTTTGTGATATTTAAAAATTTTATAAAGTAACAAAGTTTTATGATTATCTGTAATTTTTTTTGTCAACATAAATCATTAATTATTTTAACATTTTATATAGAAATAATTTTAAAATATTCTAGTAAGTATTTTAGTAACAAATAAAATTATATATTAAGGTACACATCAGCCAATAATCTGTTAATCATTATAAAAACTAAATTATTGTTCTATTCAAGTATTTTATTATTTACAAACATTACAAAATTTGATCACTATTAGAATCTTCTTGTTCAATACACAAATTATAATTCTTTAACAAATTTGATTTATCATTCATATTCACAAGTATGCTTAGTACATACAAAACTCAGTTAACTGACTTTTTAGTTACTCCACATTTATATAACAGTATTATGAATAATTTCTAATTTCTTTTTTATTTTTATTTTTTTTAAAGTCGAGGACCAAAAGAAGCTGATGAGCTCCTGAATGAAAAGGGATACAGATTTTATGGTACTTACAAATGGGTCCAACCATCACACTATTGAATCTTTGCATAAATGTAAATGATATCTTTACTATTATTGTTGTTGTTTTATTTTTTTAAAGAATAGAGTAATATATAAAATTTGTTACACATATCTTGCATTTATTGCATGGGGATTGGGATTATTGCATGGGAAAAACATATTTTCTAACTCATGATGTTTTGGTGTATATAAAATGTAATATATTTACATAATTACTTTATATTCAGTTAATTTAAAATAAACTAATTAGCTTTTTAATGTATTAAATGTTATATTTTGACAAGATTTAGATATTTATAGAAGAATTTTTGTATTAACTGTTAAGAAAATGGAAGCTTTTATTGAAAAAAAAAAGCATTTATTTGGATAATGAAACTTAAAAATTTAATATTTTTAACAAGGTTTTAAAATCAAATTGCATTATTCCTTAAAGTTTCTGATATGTTAAATAAAGACTGGTCTAAAAATTAATCATAGTGAAGGTTAACTTATCTTATTTAGATACTTTTATTATATTCTAAAAATTATTCAAATTTATTGTAAATTTACTTTGATGTCTCTCTCAGTTTGTATCAATATGATTATTATTGTAGTTTTTTTATAAGTTTCTTTATTAAATTTTAAGAAAAATTAGTAACAATATAAATTATATCTACTTATGTAATAAAATATTATGTAATTTTTTAAGAATTTATATCCTACGGCAAGGGACCAACCAATAGAAATTTCTTGTGCTTTACAGCTTTTTGCTTTTATTTGTTATTATTTAATGAATTTCTTTACTTTATTAAATAAAATATTACAAAAGTTTTTTAGTAAATCTCTTTCATTAATACTTACAGAATAAATCTTTAATTCATACCAAAAGTTCTAATGATTTTTTTAAATAAATAATTGATAATCTAAGTTATTAAATGTCAGAAAGTATAGGTGGTGATTTATTTATATCATGTAATTTTAACTTTTAACTTAATATTAAAAATGCAACATGACATTTATTATGCTATAAAATTACAAAGTACTTCAAGTTAATAGGTTTATAACAAAATACTAATTTCTATACAATTTTTATATTTTTAAAGTGCTAATAATAATAAAAGTTTAAGAAGAAAATTCTAAATAGAATTTCCTTTTTCATTACAAATTTAAATTTTGTATCTAAATTCTTTGTAGTTTCTTTCCATGGGGAATTTTGGATAATGTACTATATATTACATAGAGCATAAATTGCCATGTTCATCAACATTTTCATATTTATATTAGCATACAGAAACGTGGACAAAATTTGGGTAATCATACTTTGAATTTTAATGTTTATGCTCATATAAGAGATTATCTTCCAGTTACAAATAACTGGCGTGATTCAAAAAAGAATGCTTTCAAGATCTTTCTAAGATTTCACTTAGAAAATTCTTGATGATTATTTCGGTACAACTAGTTTGAGATAGCTGAATTTGTACATTTTTCCTCCATTATATTTACATTAAATCATATAGGTTAACTTATTACACTAAATGATTAATCACATTTTGATCAACCTTTGTAATGAAACTGAAATTTTAAAAAAGTGAAAAAATTTAATTAGCAATGTATAAAGCTCTATTTCTATAATGTTTTTAATATTTCTTCCATATTGAGTGCTATTTTAAACTTTTTCTTATATTATACTTTAAGAACCATGTTGAATCATTTAAATATTTTTTTAAACTTACATTCAAGAAACAGTGTAAGGAAAAAATTTTGTTTTCTTATTTAAAGTATTTTCCATCAGTATTACCAAGAGAGCTTCTTTCAAATTAAATTTTGAATTAATCCATTAAAGCATTTTGCTTAAACAAGAAGGCATTTGCATTTTGCTTTACAATGACAATAGATACTTTTTTTTTTAATATGACAGATTGGACATGCACATTAAATATTTGGCAAGCTAATTAGCTTGGAGTGTCGCTTCTGTATCTGAAGATGTTTACTTTTTTTCAGACTTGGAAAGCATGCAAAGTGTAAACTGGAGTGATGACATAAAAACATAGCCGATCAACAAACATTTGGTTATCTAGGTGAAAACACATGTAATTACTTTTTTAACACTAACATGAATATTCCAGTAATTTAGAAAGTCTGGGTGTCCAAAGTGGTTAAAGCCTCAGCCTATTGTTTGGGCAGCAATAGGCTGGGGCTTTTATCACCTTAATAAAGATTAACACTTTCTTCAATGATGATTCATTTTTAATAATTTACTTTCAATTAATTAATTGTTTCCATATATGTTCTTTTAGATTTATTGTTATAAATGGTACAGTATGTCCCAAATGTTGATAATACCCACATAGGTTTAAAATAAATTAGGGCTATATAACATAGTGGTTTAAAGATTTTTTTCAATATTTCACTGGTCTTTGGACAGAAAGGTTGAGAAACTGTGCTGAGAAATCTGGAATCAAACTAAGCAGTTTGAAAACCCCAGGAATTTTTCATGGACAGTCTATCCAAGATGTCAATATGCATTTTTAAAAACTACGTGCCCAATCCAGCATTGTCAGTTTTTTAAAACTAAGTAACCAAATATTGCCAGATTTTTAAAATTCCAAAAAAAGTGTTGAATAAACATTATGCGATTTTACGTATTTTTATAGCTTTATTAATTAAAAAGTAAACCATGAAATGCATGGTAATAGATAAAATATATATGCAGTACAGTATTTACTATATTTGATGCCACTGATTTCACCAGCCAATTTCAAATTATTTAGCTGTAATAAACGTTTTCTTATAAGACAAATAGTGTAAGTACTGTACAGTATAAAGAAAGGCTACAAAAGTTGTTTTCAACAAACAATTTATTAAATGAAAAATAAATTTCAAAGCTAATTGTACACTAGTTAACAAGTAGAAAGGGAAAGTACTGTAGGGGAAGGTGGTGCAAGATGGGGTCATGGGGTAAAACGGTGACGTCCGTTTATTTGTGGTTAATGTGCTTTTATCTAGCTGTTATTTGGGGAACTAAATGTCTACCTCGAAAGGGATCATGGAGCGAGAGAACGTCCAAATCGCTCTCTTTGTTTGGAAGTAAGACACGTTTTTCATGTTTCAGCAATACTTCATCTAATTTTATGCCTGCTAAAATGTTTCTACAAAGTAAGTATCATTGTAAACTTTTACATTACCTTTTAGATGAAGATATTATGATATTCGAAGTAACCTTTAAGACTGTAATTGTTTAGTTTTGAAATGAAGTTTACTTGTGTTTGCAGTCAGTATGAAAAATGTACGTTGGGGGCAAGATGGGGTACCCATCTAACCCCAGGTTGACCATGAATATGGCCTATGAATCCAGAAGTATTTTTGGAGGCATACTTTATTGCTTCAGAGACGACAAACAGGCGCCTTCAGCAAGGGTAGGTCTAACAAAAGACAAATGACACAGAATTATTGTGGAGGGTTAGATAGCCTAACCCTCTACTCTGTATCTACAGAGAGTTGGGCTAAATGTAGCCGTTGTGATAAATGGGTACACTGTTCTTGTACCAATATTGAAGAAAACGACAGTTTAACTATTTTAATTTGTCCTTCTTGTATATAAAAATAATATCCCCATCTTACCCCATGGGTGGGGCAAGATGGTGCATTACATATAATTTTAAAATATTAAATTTTCTTGTTTTTAAAAACGTTTTTCAAAAATTAAATTTTGTATTATATATTACCACATGTTGTAGTTGCTGAGAATAAAAAATTATTGTTCTCATTAAAGTGGTTGCCATCTTAAGACTTTTCAAACCTTAACGTTCTCATCTTGCCCCACCTTCCCCTACATCTAGAATATCACTAAAACTTTGTTCTTGCTGGCAAACTTAAATGAATCTATATCCAGTTCTGATTCATTGTTTGTTTGGTAATGCATTGTGTTATTAAAAGATTGTAGCAATGAAGATGTAATTTTGAAGATTTTACAACCGCCTTGTTTAGTAATGCAGAATGCCAATTATGAAATCTAATCGGTTAGACGGACAGAGCTAAGAAGTATTCTATCTTTGAACGGTGTGCTGAGTTAGCAAGTTAGACTAGATCGTGTGTAAAAATGGAGAATAGCGTAATAATCATAATTTTAATAACGTTTGTGTGAACACGGCTCAGGTATTCCTAACGTGTTGGTGAAATCTAATGCAAGATTGTAGTTTGAAGGCTATTTCTTTTAAATTAAATTAATATGCCTCAATGTTTTTAATTTATTATAATCTTATTCCGTCCACTAGTACTGTACGTATCTATTAACAGGACTTATTAAACTGGCTTTAAGGATACTGCAACTCGGTTTCACAATTATAAAATTGTTGTTTTATTTATTTTACCTGTAAATTAAACAGGTAAATTAAATAAAACAACAATTTTATAATTGTGAAACCGAGTTGCAGTATCCTTAAAGCCAGTTTAATAAGTCCTGTTAATAGATACGTACTAGTGGACGAAATAAGGCTATTTCTTTTAGTTTTAATAGCATTCATATAAAAATAATTCTGTACAATAAAATATTAACTTAAAACCAAACCATGACATTTTCTTAATTTCAAAAATAATTAAATTCATCTTTTAATGAAATTTCAGAGTTGATATAAGTCAGATTTTATTAAAATATATTAAGCGACGTCATCAGTGACGATAGTCTTAAAATGCACTTTTTCGTTATTGTCAACGAACCAATAATACAAACGTAATTCTATTGTTCAATCGAGATGAATTGGCCAATTTCTCTAAATTTTCTTCAAAGGTATTGGAATTTTGCTTTGTTTTGAAAGAAGTAACTTAAGAAAAAAGCTTGGAAATTGCAAAATCGCCAATACAAGAATGAAAAAGTGAGAAAATACATCACTAAAATATGAGACAGATGAACACAATAGATTCTTTTCAGTCAATAATAAAGAATGAAGACGAAATGCTTGTAGAGGGATAATACTTAAATTTATATGGCAGGTAAGTCATTTGATTTAAATACAAATTATTTTCACACAATTCTGTTATTAGTGCTAAATTCGCGTCATTCCTATAGAAGGCTGAGTTTGGTTTTATTTGGTTACAACAACGCGACACATGGGCGGTCTACCAAGGGGACGCCTTCCGGGAGATCTTTTATGGAAAACTGGCTTTTTGTTGTTATTGATGTAACTAACGCAAAGAAAACCTAGAAAATTCCATATGGCCAGTCTGTTGGCGAGGCGCGAACCCACGATCAACTATCAGTATTCAATGGTTTTGTCCACTTGGTCACTATAGAAAGATAGGTGTTACCTGACGAAAATTGAAGTGTTGGATTATGGAGCTATAAATAATTGGAAAGGCAGTGGTGGAAACATTCTATTGATAACTTCAGGTTAACCTCAGGATATTAGAGCGACCCTAACGGGGAAGATAGAAGCCCACACTTTTGTTGATGCCCTCGTAGTGGGGAGGATGGGAGCCCGCATTTTTTGAGCTGTGTACCCGGGTGTTATGGCAGGCGGTCTCTGCGAACTTGTACTGTGCTGTTATCTGACTGTATATTTCCAAGGTAAATAAATCTTACGTTTTGTTTACGCCGTGTCTAGTTTCGTTCAAGAACCTCGTAACGGTTGCCGAACTGCCACCTTGACCGCTCGGCCATCGAAGGAGCATCGCTGGTGACAGCCTACCGCTTCACAGAAGTATGCCGACAAGGTGGCAGCCTACTTCAAAATTTGTGGATAGTGGCCGGAGGGTCATCCGCCACTATCCACAAATTTTGAAGTTGCCAAAAAGAGGCTGCAGGTAGTTTTGAAGAAGCTGAGTGACGAGAAGTTGGAAGAGTATGGACGAGTGTTTCGGGAGTGAGAGGAGACTGAAACTATTGAACGCATTGGGCCGTATATAACGATGCATAAGGGATGCTACTTGTCTCACCGCCCTGTCTATAACCCTAAGAGTGAAACCACTCCCATTCGACCCGGGTTGATGTTTTAGTAAAGAAGAAGGGAGAACCTTTAGTCAACGATTGTCTTGAAAAAGAACCGAACCTGATAGAATTGTGTTCTCGAAATTTAGTGACTCAATTTGGAGTTACTAAATTTTGAATTCAACTTTGACTAGAGTTGCCAACCATCTTTCATTGAGCTGTATTATTCTTCCGCCTTTCTTTTGAGTACAGTAAGATCGCGTTTAGCGCTTAGGATGCGTTCCTAGACGACAAAGCGCTAAACGAAACAACGTTAAACGAGGTCACTTTAACCCATAGTAAATAGGGAAAGGGGAAAACGCGACCAAAACTAAACAAATTTTACGTTAAATTTAAGTTATATTATTGTGAAAATTAATATAAAAATATGTTATATAACACACAACTTTATATTTCTGTGTGCATATGCTTATTTTTGTGATGAAGGTCCTGATTCTTCTGAAATTCTTGATTTTTTTGTGATGAACTCGTGTAGTGTCATTTATCGCTGCTGCTTTCGTTAAGCAAATGTCGGTAGCAGGAGATTACATCCAAAACGTTTCCTATTGCTTTTGCACTCCTTTCAAAACCTGGATCATTCGCTATAGTTTGATCAACGATTTCGGTTATCGTTACCAAACTTTCACTAAGGAAATCTATAACAAGTTCTTTGGGTTCTTCGTTTTCAGAACCTACTTTCCAGTTTTACATGAATTGCTTGTTCTGCCAGTTCTTGAAGGTCGTCGTTGGTAAGTCTGTCACCAGAAACCTGCAGTAACTCCTCAATATCCGGCTCGTCTACATCACCTAGTCCTGCTGTATCGATTAAGTTGACAATTTGTCAAAGATAGGCTCTTCTCGTTGAGAATCTTTGGATACCTCCGGCCGTACCTTCTTCCACACTCAGTTCATGCATTTAATTCTTGTCAAGCGAAGTCGATATTGCCTATAGCATCCATGATGTTTTGCTGATAGGTTCGAGTTCGGGAATAATCTTATTATATACGAATCAATGAAATGCCGCAATAATTTGAATAAGCGTAAATTTTGAGCTTTTCTTTAAGGCTTAGAGCCAGGGCTGTGTAGTCGCGTAAAAATCTACCGACTCCAACTCCGACTCCGACTTTTCCTTACCATCCGACTCCGACTCCGGCTAAAACACCAAAACTCCACGACTCCGACTCCGACTTCACAGCCCTGCTTAGAGCAGACCACGTTATATCGAATCGGCGTTAATCGGATGCGCTAAATGAGGTTTTACTGCATAAGTTAACTGTTTGTTCTTGTTTCATTTTATTTTATCATCTCTGAAATGTTACTGGCAGACGTTCTTATTCTAAAGTAATAGTTTCGTCTTTATTACTCATTAGGGTAACAAAAAATGAAGACATTATTATTAGAGTGGCGCAAGCAAATTGAACTTAGTGACTCAATTAGAATAGCGTTGGTAACAGTCTTAACATTGGGTTTATATAGATAATAGATACGGTTTTAATGTTTTATAAGGTTTTAGTTATTCAACGAATATTTAAAAAAACTACTTTGTTATAGATATTCTCCGTTTATGCAGTGTCCTTTTGTGTTGGCAACTATTGAATTTCATTGAATTAAGGTGGTTGCACTCGAGTCTAGTTGATACTTCTACTAGACCGTAAGCAGACTTTTACATGGGTGGAGTTATAAAAACACATTCTTTTTCCATAGTTTATTACTAGTTAACTTATATTGTAAAAATTAAGTACTATATATACAGTATTCTCAATTTTCCGAAACCATGTTTTATAATTTTCTATGATTCTCAACAAAACAGTGCTACACTTGGTTATAATTTAAACACTTGGCGTTTTTTCATCTTTATTCAGTTGATACGAGTATTACTACACGTTTCGGGCACTCCCCCTCATCAGCCACTAAACATTAAGAAGGTATACATAAATTTTTTAACAAAACTACAGAAAGGCTAATTTTACAAAAATATATAACTAAATGTATAAATTCATTCGCGAGACATACCATTAGATTCTTTACGAACTTGAAAGATAAACATGTAAAGGAGTAATGCAGTTTCGTATATCTGCCTAGATAAATTTTCACACATTTTTTACAAATTTATAATGTAACATTATTTTCTTTATATTTATAGGAATTTTACAAAATACAACCTACCTTAAGTTTTACAATTATACTACATTTACTAGTGAGACTCAGAATATACTTTTCCAACAATGAAATCAAAAGTAGGCTTCACCAACACGAAATTTACGTACATCTGGTTTAGAAACAAGTAATTGATACATAAGTACAGTACATAAACAATATAAAAAAATTTTTTAAAAAGGACATTACCTGAGGAGCAAGTTTTAAATTTTTGATAAACAATTCCAACATTGAATCTTGTTTTTACATAGACGTGATATATTTTATTGTTTTTTTATATTTACAAATAAAAGAAACACTAACTAGTAGACTTAGTTAAGTTCTACTATACAAATTACACATCAATACACCACAGAGATAAAACCCGCTCCCTCTTTACAGTTTTTTTCTTGTCGCAATGCGGTCTAATACAAATTTGTATATTTGAACGAAATACAATAGCTTATTTTACAAAATTATTTTCAATAATACAATTATAACTAAACTAGATAAAAATTTTTTTGAAATTATTTTATAAAACATTTAACCAATTTTCATTTATTTTGAAACTCAAGTTTTTATTAATACAATTGTTGGCTTTTAGGATCTCGAAACTTCCTTTAAATTTCCTGCTATATGTGTTTTTTTCTTTTTGTATAATTTCAACATTAGACTTATCAATATTACAATTATTCAATAAACAATGTTCGTGGAAAACTGAATTTAATCTGTTGTACTTAAAGTCTGCAATGTGATCTTTCAATTTTGTATTTAATTTACGTTTTGTTTCACCTATATAAATATTAGTATTACTGCAAGTACATGGAATTTTATAGACTATATTTTGCGTTTCTTCTTTTTCTTGTCTAGTTATTTTCTTTAATTGTTTCGCTTTTAATCTAGATTGCAATTTCTCGTATTTAGGCGCTAGTTTTACATTAATTTTTCTCAACTCTTTGTCAATCTCTTCATATAACCGTCTAATATAGGGAAAACTAATATGTTTTATGTCTGGATCCTTTTTTAATCTTTCGTATTTTTTATCATTCAACCTCTTTTCCAAAATATTAATTATTCTGTTTGGATATCCATTTAGCATAAATTTCTTTTTTAATTCGTTTACATATTTGTTTATATTAGTAGTTTTACTGGTTCTTGTCTTAATCTTGGTGTATTTCATATTGAAAACATTCTGTTTAATGCACATAGGTATATTTGACTTATAAATAATTGTTTTGCTTATAGAGCATGGTTTTTTAAAGGTTCAAATTCTATACTATTATCATTTCTTTTTATTGTAATATCTAAGTAATTTATGCTATGGTTAATATTATTTTCTTCTTCTATTTTAAACTGAATTTCTCTATGTATGTTATTTATTATATCTTTAATGTCGTTAATTTTAATCTCTATATCATTATATATGACTAGGATGTCATCTACATATCTTCTATAAAATTTAATGCCTTCTATTTTGTTAATTTTTTTTATCAATCATTACTATTTCCGCTAACTTTGGTCCCATAACAGATCTCATGCTAATGCCTTCGTTTTGTGTATAATATTTACAGTCGATCCCCCTATAAGATCATTGATTTTTCCGTTTTATCTGAATTACATGTTGTACGAGTCACTTAGATTTTACAAATACGTGTGCCGGGCTGTGAACGGCTCACATATTTGTAAAATCTAAGTGACTCGTACAACATGTAATTCAGATAAAACGGAAAAATCAATGATCTTATAGGGGGATCGACTGTATTGTTTATTTCAAAGTAGTTACTTCTATAAGAGAATTCTATTAAATCAATAATATCAGGTTCTACATTAATTTGTTTTAATTTTTCTTCAACAATTTCCCACGCTATCGAGGGGTACATATCAATGATATCCAAACTAGCAATTTTAAAAGTATTTTTTATATTTAAATCCTTAATATCTTTCAAAAACTCATCTGTATTACATATGGCTAATCTAGAATTCTGATATGATTTTAGTTTTTTCTTTAAAAAATTATATAAATTGAATATTTAAAGTCTATTATGGGCCTAACTTTATCACCTACTTTATGGGTTTTAAGTTGAATGTTTATTTTTGGTGTACGATCGTTACTACTATTTAAGATGAATTCTTTTTCAGTTTTGGTTAATTTTTTTTAATTTTTGTAGTTTTGTAATTCTATTTTTTAACTTTTTTGGGTCTATTCGGATTCTCTAAATCTTTCACTTTTTATCAATTCAAGTTTTTTAGCTTTTACCCAATCTATGTTTACAATATACAATCTGTTTTGATTTATCAGCTTTTATTATTTCTAAATTATCAATTAAAAATCTATGTAATTCACTAATATGATTTTTATATCTATAATAATTTTTATCTTTTATAACTGTTTTTTTTATATATTTCTTTATCTTATCACTTAAGTTCGTTTTTACAAATTTTGATTCAATTTCTGATAAATTATTAGGCTACTAAATTTGGTATTATGTCGAGGACTTCCCATTTATTAGGGCCATTAAAGTCTAAGCCTTTTTGTATAGTTTCTAAAATATTTTCAGGAATTTTGATTTATGTATACCTTTTCAATGTTTAGTTGGCTGATGAGGAGCAGTGCCCGAAACGTGTAGTAATACTCGTATTAACTGAATAAAGATGAAAAAACGCAAAGTGTTTAAATAGTAGCACGGTTTTGAGAATCATATTATATGTATATTAAACTCTCCGCCCTGTGGGAACTAAGAGAGCTACTTTTTAGCAAGCCCATTATGGGTTTGGCAAGGCCTACAATGGGGTGGCCGGGTGATGGGGGACGAGAACCGATATATCCGGTCGGACCACTCCCGAAAAAATCCTGAGGATTTTTCGACCCCTCCGGATTCGATCCCCAGAGTGGTAGACTGTCACCTCGACCGCCCGGCGATCCGGTCGTCAATATAAATATATAGTATACAGTACAGTAGACTAAAGAGAAACTGAACGGCTAAAAAATAAATATGTTATATACAACATGTCTTATTAATATTAATATGATAACATTGTTCTGTTTGAATTTGTACACGACCTTGGTAACAATACATTATAGACTATTTGTAAGTCCAATTACTCCCAAGGCGGAGATCGACTCTCAATGAGATGGAGCAGCATGAGTGAGAGATGAGGAATGAATCGTTGATCTATACTTTATAAAGTAAGGTGGTCTGAATCGAATTCAAATCTGGATTCTCCTTTTTTTTGGCCATCTTATATTCATTATCTTTTAAGTTATCCGATGAAAACAAAAATATTGTTTGATGCATATATTCATATAGAGAACTTGCATTTTACAAGTAAAACAACAGAGGGAAACTATGGAGCATTTTGCATTCTTGGATTCAGGAATGAAATGTCCAGAAATGCAAAAAAATTTGGGGTTTTTCTGTATGTATGGATGTTAGTGTGTGCCTTTGGGGCGGCACGATTTTATTCACCCTATTTGAAACTTGTGCTTTTTGTCAAAAATTTATAAAATTTTTCAGGGAGGTTTGTTTATTAGGAGATTAATGCTATTAAATTTTGGCGATTAAAGGTCGAGGGAGTGGGAAGATAAAGGGGGTCGTGTGTATCTCCAGTAGGATCGGACTTAATGACGATTTTACTCGTTATTAGCATTTACAATTTTTTTAAATAAAATTCATCTCTACCCTCAAAATTAAGCGTTTTGCTATTTTATGATAGTTAAAAATATAAAATGATTTTTAATAAAATATGCTAACAGATGGCGCTACCAAATGTGGTCGGGTAAGTTAAGCGACTCGTTGCTGGATTTTTATAACGGAAATGGCATAGTTTTTCTGTTTTTCTATTAGTGGTAATTCTCTTAATAGGAGTTAAATGTTTCAGCATAAACCAGCATAAAGTACAGTAGAGCGTCGTTTATCCGAAAGCTGGTTATCCGAAACGTCTGTTATCCGAAAGCATTCAAATCGGCAAATTTAAATTTTCGCTAGTGCTGTGGCGCTGCAATCTTCGGCTATTTCTTGGGTTATTCAAATATTTTACGTTTTTGATACTAAATTAACATCTGAAGTATAATTTTTTTATTGTTTTTATATTTTTCAATATATTTATTTTGTGTGTATAAAATAAAAAAATAATTTTTAACGATACAATAGTCTTCGTTAGGCTTAACATCGACGAAAATTCAACGCGAAGTGACACGCAACGGTGAAAAATTTCAACATGGGATAAATTAATATATTTTTTCGTACATGATTCGTTATCCGAAAAAGTAAGTTATCCGAACCACCCCAGTCCCCAATTGATTCGGATAAACGACGCTCTACTGTAGTAGCATATCTCTATATACGAGCATAAAATAGTTGTGACTATACAGTATAAACGTATACTAACCTAATCTAACAGTGCCAGCAAATTTCATAAAACGGTAATACATTAGGACTTGCTATTCTGGCCATTCCTTTTACAGAAAAGTGTCGGATTACCGAGAATGCATAGGCCTAAAATTTGTCTAAAGGCAATGAATGACATAGTCTGTCGCTCTTCTGTACTGATTCTTTATGGAGGCATGCAGGAAAAATAGTACGACGACTGATATGCAATACTGTGCACAGAAATGAAACCAGAGTAAACAAGAAAACAAGTTGTGTGACATGATTACCATTTTCATGGAAACGAAAGCGTCCAGACAATCATACGAGTGATATTCCGGATAATGAAGAAGCCGGATTTTAAGAGTATACTATAGTTTCATTTGCTAAACCCAGGACCAAATTTGCACGTAATCTAAATAAACTGAAGCTTGGGGCTTTGCGATGAGTCTCTAGGGCCTCACATTTTTACATGTTCATAATTTGGTAGAGGAGAAGGGCATGTTATATCTTATAGTATAATTTGCTTCTTGTTTAGATGTTTCTTGTTTGACTATGTTAATTTTCTATTGGCTATTAATATAACTCTAACAAAAGCTTATCATAACGATTAAAATTGCCATTAAGGTGACTGTTTTTACATTTTCGTTATATTGACTCTAATATGCATTTTGGACGTATAAATTCGTCCCTCTTCAGTTAGGTACAATATTATATCTACATAGACAAAGTAACAATTACATAAGAATCATCTTAACACCGACAAAAATCTAAAATAAAATATGTCTAGTTTTTACTTACAATATTAAAATCAACAGTTGAAGAATTTTTGAAAAAAAATAAAACATATTTAAAAAATTATAATTTTCTAGTGATTCCAGAACAGTTTAATAACTTAAAGAAAACCGTAAATAATAATAATAATAATAATAAAACAGAATAAAATATCCTAAATACTAAAAATGTGATTTATAATTTCCAGTGTAGCTGTACTAATAATAAAACATATGTGGGTGAAACCAGTAAAGAACTAGGTATTAAAATAAAAGAACATATAAGTCCCATCAAAAATAATAACCAATATTCAGAAGTAGCTCGCATTGTAACATTCTGAGGGATTAAAAGTTTACCATCAATATTGTTAAGAAAGAGAAAAACATTTGAATATTTGGAAATAATTAAAAACTATGAAACTGTTCATGCATTAAGTCAGTGTTTTCCAATCTGTGGGGCTCGAAGCTATTGCAAAGGGCGCAGCTTTTACCAAATTATTATTTTTTAATACAAACAAACAAACAAAATCAAATCGATGTCGAAAAAATGTCAGCAAAATGGTTATGCTTAATTCACAACCCTAGTCCGAACGACTCGGGTACGAATGATAAAAATTCATCCACACTCTTGCCGAAAAGTCTCGACAAGAGTCGAGCCCGGGAGAACAATATACTTTATTAACCTTAAATAAGGTATATTGTTTTTTAGGCCGTGTAATGGATTATAAGGACAGTATTTATGAAATTAGATTGTTACGAAAATTAAAGGAGATGCAAAGTTTTTTTAATAAAATATGATAACAAATGGTGCCACTAAAATTTTAAATGCTGACGGGAAAATTGAGCAACTCGTTGCTGGTTTATTAAATATAGGGGAGAGTCGTACAGTATCGAACATTACTAGCATTCTACAGAGGTGTTTGTTGGTATTTAGTGCGTCAAAAATTATTAAAATAAATCTTATTAGTTTCACAATATAAAATTATATACAACGGACAATCTCTAAAATGTTACCATGTGGCAGTCGTCCTGTACCGACAATTTACTTGTGCAGTAAAGACCACAAATAATTTAAAAAAAAAAAGTCTGTTTTCTTTCTTTTTAATTTAGATAGAAATGGCAGAAAGTGAGAGAAAGAAGAAAGTAAAATTGACCGAAGCTGGCATGAAAAATGGCAATAGATGAACAACATGACTCAACAGCTCGACAGCTTCGACATTTTCAGTTCCAAAAACAACATTAGTATATCGAATGACAGCAATTCAAGTTGACAAAAATATAAGTATGGTCCCTCAGATGAACGTTAGATTGCATAGAACTTTCGATGGAAAAACAATAATTTTATATGCAAGATCACGATTAAAAGTTCATTTAAAAAGACTGAGCACATATCAAATGTGCCGATCAAGAAAATATTTTGTATCTTATTTGTAACAATTGTAAGCAGTGAAGTTTTAATGGAAATTTTCGAAGATTTGTTCCTATGTTTTCCTAGTATTCATTTTTTTGAATAAATGTCATTATTATTGGTTATAGTACGAAAGTACACTATTCTACATTGGTGTTCGAAATTAAGAGAATTTGCACATTTTGTCGATTTTAACAAAAGTAATGATCCGAAAGGACAAATTATGCCACCTAATAAGAATGAAAATTTTTAGTGTTGAATACGTATACATCCATTGAGGGTGCCATCTGTCACATGCAAATGTGACAGATGCACCCTGTGCCAGGCAAACGGGTCCCAACAGGTTGTTCCGACAAGCTGTCATATCTGCACGTGTATGTGGGCAGAACTTTCACAGCGAAGGGCATGAAAATCACACGTGACTTTGTCCATGATTAATTCGCTCGGGCTCCTCGGTGACATTCATTGTTTTTCTTGTAAAAGTTGGTTCAATTTCATAAGCATTCAAGTAAAATGAGTAGCTACGAACGTCTTGATGACGGAATGAAGTGGAGAATCGTGGATAATTTGGAGGCGGGGCAATCACAAGTGCAGGTTGCTACAGAGCTCAAAGTTTAGTGTCAAATGCAACTTGTCAAAACAATTAAACGACACCCGAATCTATATCGAGAGGGCCTGAGAAAGGTCATCCAAGAGCCATGAGTCCAATGAAGATCTTCATTGGCCGTCATGGCTCTTGGATGACTTTTCGTGGCTATTTGGCACTTTCAGGGAGGCTCCACAAGACTGCTACAGTTTCACAGCTATCTCGTGAGCTGCATGCCGCCACTGGAACAGCCTGAGTTTCAAGGATTACTGTTTCCTGGAGGCTTCATAAGAGAGGGCCTTTTGCCAAAAGACCCACTGTTTGTATCTTGCTCACTTCAGCACACAAGTTACATTACATTAGTTATGGTAAAAGTATTAATGTGGTAAAAGTCGGTACTGCACGACTCTTCTCTAAATTTAATAATCTCTGCTCAAGTTTAAAATCAGAAAACTGTTTTTACAGTATTAAAAGGATTTCCGTATTCAATCGAATTTGTTATCCCATATCTTCCAATTTAATTGCATCTCTCGCTGCAAAGTCTTTTCCGTATGACCTTTATATCTCATAAAATGACAAAATCATTTCTTCCAAAGCAGGAATCGATGATCCTATTTAACAATGAACAATTCTCGTAACAATCAACGCCGGAAGTAAGAGTTTTAAACCTATGAAGCAGTTCCTTGGTGACCTTAACGGTTTTCTTCTTTTTATAATTGAATTTATAATTACGCTTACAAATTATATAGTAATAATAATAACAGTACATTAAATGCAGAAGGTTAAATAATATCCTCTTTGTACGAAATACTTTAGAGGGGCGCTCCCATTCCATAGCATAAGAGAAACAGTAGACCACCAGATGAAGGAACATTAAGTTGTAGTTTGATCTTCGCATTTCAATATAAAGACAAAATTACAACTTGGCAAGCTATTATGAGGTTTTTGGTATCATTATAAACTTTGTTTGTTTTTTTGTCTTCAAGTTCAAGTTCTAAAATTGAAATTATAACAATAACATTACAATACATATACCCATACGTATGTAAACAGAACTCGTAAAGAAACATTTTATTTTAAAAATCCGTTGAAATTCAATGGGCATATATGCTAGTAAAGTAATAATTATTCGTATGTCTGCATAAAGCTTGCTTAATGTTTTAATCAAATTTCATAAGTATGCATAAATTTAAAAAAAAATCTCTAAAAATTACAAATTTACATCACAGTAGTAACTGAGAGTTATAAATGAATGAATAAATAAAGGAACACAATAAAGGACAGAAAGGTAATTTAAATTCTAAATTTCAATTAATCCTTCTCTTTCATTGATTCGATCAAAGATAAGATTTATTGAGTCCAACTTTGCAGAGTCGAATTGATCTTTTGTAATGTTGGAATATGTTAATCGAAAACGGTATAAATTATCATTTAGACAGCTAAGATAAGATATTGTTCAAAGTTGGATAATATATCTCCCGAATGGAATATAAATCTTTCGACAAACTTCATTCTTGAACAGAATTTAATTATCTGTCACCCTTATTTGCATATTTCTGCGCGTTGTATTATCGTGAGTCTTGACAATTAAACCGTTAATGTTGTAAGAAATTGTTGAATTTTTTATTCACAACGTTTTTAAATTGACAATTAGAAATGTACTTAAACATTAAACACAATTAATTTGTAGAAAATTCACATTTTTTAAGTGTTAGGTGTTGAATAGAGGAGAGTAACAAAGCATTGATTTGGTTGTTTATTTAATTTACTCCATCGATGCTAAGAAATAATTTATTAGTACTTCTCAACTAAAACAAATTACTCCTTTAAATAATTAAAGCATTAATTAAGTTAATTGCTTCTATGTTTATTTTCCTCAATTTTCCAATTGTAATGAGGAATTCCTTATTCTTTCATCACTTGCTACGAGGAAAAACTTGGATGCCACCATTTTTTTTTCTTGAATAACTGCTAATGTTTGGAGGTGAGAAAACGACTCTATTGGTTGCTACAGATCCGGACAATCCCTAGATTAGGGGATGAATTAAACATGAAGCCATTGGTCTCTACTGGATACCACTTGAGCTTGTCACGTTGTCAAACGGCGTGACCGCAAAGATTGTGCCATCACCTAAACCTTTAAATTATTCATGGAAGTAATCAGGATGTCTTCTAGAATCAGTTGCACGTTATTACAGTTTATTTAGTAGAATTTCCTACTAGGATTTACAAACTTAACCATTGCTAGATGTCGTTTTCGCATCCCTGGATCAACGATGGATCGTAAAATATTGTAATGGTGAATCCTCATAAATACGTATAAACTTCGTTAAATTATAATTATTATTTGTACAAGAAATTTAAAATCAAATTTAAATGAGTTTAATTAATACAATTTAATGATTTTTTAGTGTATAATTCTTAAATTCGNACTCCGACTTTTCCTTACCATCCGACTCCGACTCCGGCTAAAACACCAAAACTCCACGACTCCGACTCCGACTTCACAGCCCTGCTTAGAGCAGACCGCGTTATATCGAATCGGCGTTAATCGGATGCGCTAAATGAGGTTTTACTGCATAAGTTAACTGTTTGTTCTTGTTTCATTTTATTTTATCATCTCTGAAATGTTACTGGCAGACGTTCTTATTCTAAAGTAATAGTTTCGTCTTTATTACTCATTAGGGTAACAAAAAATGAAGACATTATTATTAGAGTGGCGCATGCAAATTGAACTTAGTGACTCAATTAGAATAGCGTTGGTAACAGTCTTAACATTGGGTTTATATAGATAATAGATACGGTTTTAATGTTTTATAAGGTTTTAGTTATTCAACGAATATTTATAAAAACTACTTTGTTATAGATATTCTCCGTTTATGCAGTGTCCTCCTTTTGTGTTGGCAACTATTGAATTTCATTGAATTAAGGTGGTTGCACTCGAGTCTAGTTGATACTTCTACTAGACCGTAAGCAGACTTTTACATGGGTGGAGTTATAAAAACACATTCTTTTTCCATAGTTTATTACTAGTTAACTTATATTGTAAAAATTAAGTACTATATATACAGTATTCTCAATTTTCCGAAACCATGTTTTATAATTTTCTATGATTCTCAACAAAACAGTGCTACACTTGGTTATAATTTAAACACTTGGCGTTTTTTCATCTTTATTCAGTTGATACGAGTATTACTACACATTTCGGGCACTCCCCCTCATCAGCCACTAAACATTAAGAAGGTATACATAAATTTTTTAACAAAACTACAGAAAGGCTAATTTTACAAAAATATATAACTAAATGTATAAATTCATTCGCGAGACATACCATTAGATTCTTTACGAACTTGAAAGATAAACATGTAAAGGAGTAATGCAGTTTCGTATATCTGCCTAGATAAATTTTCACACATTTTTTACAAATTTATAATGTAACATTATTTTCTTTATATTTATAGGAATTTTACAAAATACAACCTACCTTAAGTTTTACAATTATACTACATTTACTAGTGAGACTCAGAATATACTTTTCCAACAATGAAATCAAAAGTAGGCTTCACCAACACGAAATTTACGTACATCTGGTTTAGAAACAAGTAATTGATACATAAGTACAGTACATAAACAATATAAAAAAATTTTTTAAAAAGGACATTACCTGAGGAGCAAGTTTTAAATTTTTGATAAACAATTCCAACATTGAATCTTGTTTTTACATAGACGTGATATATTTTATTGTTTTTTTATATTTACAAATAAAAGAAACACTAACTAGTAGACTTAGTTAAGTTCTACTATACAAATTACACATCAATACACCACAGAGATAAAACCCGCTCCCTCTTTACAGTTTTTTTCTTGTCGCAATGCGGTCTAATACAAATTTGTATATTTGAACGAAATACAATAGCTTATTTTACAAAATTATTTTCAATAATACAATTATAACTAAACTAGATAAAAATTTTTTTGAAATTATTTTATAAAACATTTAACCAATTTTCATTTATTTTGAAACTCAAGTTTTTATTAATACAATTGTTGGCTTTTAGGATCTCGAAACTTCCTTTAAATTTCCTGCTATATGTGTTTTTTTCTTTTTGTATAATTTCAACATTAGACTTATCAATATTACAATTATTCAATAAACAATGTTCGTGGAAAACTGAATTTAATCTGTTGTACTTAAAGTCTGCAATGTGATCTTTCAATTTTGTATTTAATTTACGTTTTGTTTCACCTATATAAATATTAGTATTACTGCAAGTACATGGAATTTTATAGACTATATTTTGCGTTTCTTCTTTTTCTTGTCTAGTTATTTTCTTTAATTGTTTCGCTTTTAATCTAGATTGCAATTTCTCGTATTTAGGCGCTAGTTTTACATTAATTTTTCTCAACTCTTTGTCAATCTCTTCATATAACCGTCTAATATAGGGAAAACTAATATGTTTTATGTCTGGATCCTTTTTTAATCTTTCGTATTTTTTATCATTCAACCTCTTTTCCAAAATATTAATTATTCTGTTTGGATATCCATTTAGCATAAATTTCTTTTTTAATTCGTTTACATATTTGTTTATATTAGTAGTTTTACTGGTTCTTGTCTTAATCTTGGTGTATTTCATATTGAAAACATTCTGTTTAATGCACATAGGTATATTTGACTTATAAATAATTGTTTTGCTTATAGAGCATGGTTTTTTAAAGGTTCAAATTCTATACTATTATCATTTCTTTTTATTGTAATATCTAAGTAATTTATGTTACGGTTAATATTATTTTCTTCTTCTATTTTAAACTGAATTTCTCTATGTATGTTATTTATTATATCTTTAATGTCGTTAATTTTAATCTCTATATCATTATATATGACTAGGATGTCATCTACATATCTTCTATAAAATTTAATGCCTTCTATTTTGTTAATTTTTTTTATCAATCATTACTATTTCCGCTAACTTTGGTCCCATAACAGATCTCATGCTAATGCCTTCGTTTTGTGTATAATATTTACAGTCGATCCCCCTATAAGATCATTGATTTTTCCGTTTTATCTGAATTACATGTTGTACGAGTCACTTAGATTTTACAAATACGTGTGCCGGGCTGTGAACGGCTCACATATTTGTAAAATCTAAGTGACTCGTACAACATGTAATTCAGATAAAACGGAAAAATCAATGATCTTATAGGGGGGTCGACTGTATA